GTAAAAATGTGAGACAAATTTTCTACCAAGTCATTTAGCATCATGACCAGATGGTTAAAGAAGATAAATTTTAAGGGTTGATTTTCAAGTTTTAGAGGAAACTGCTGTTGGTTTTCAGTTTGGTGCATTTCATAGTGCACATTTGCATATGAAAAATGCTCCTATAATATTGCAGTTAATTTACTGGGCAAACAGCTTGAATATATATTGAGGCTTTATGGTGCCAAGACACCCAGTTGATCTGATAAAATTACAAGTGAATTTGGGAGTGGAGGAGAAAGGAGTAATAAATCAGTTATATGTTAACTTGCAGAAGAAAGAAAATGCTTGCCTATTCTCCAACTCTCCCCACCTTTTCAACTGGTTGAATTTACATTGTGCAGACAAAATGTGATTGTGTTAGCACTTGGTTATTGATTAAGCCTCTTAAAAAGAGTAAGTTACTTGGTTGCTTTAATTGATTCATTTTTTAAATTGGCAGTAAAATCCTTGAAAAATACTAGACCTATGTAAACACAGTCTGAGTACACACTCATAAAATTTAACCGATGTTGGATACCCACTCTATCAAGGCATCTTGTTAAAGTAATGAAATACTAATTTAATTCTCTAATTATTAAAAAAAATGGGGCACCTTGGTGTCTCAGTCAGTTAAGTTTCTGACACTTGATTTCAGCTCAGATCATGATTTCAGTGCCGTGAGATGGTGGAGCCCTGTGTTGGGTTCTGTGCTGAGCAAGGAGCCTGCTCAAGATAATCTCTCTCCTTCTTCCTCTGATCCTCCTTCTCTCTCCCTCTCTCTCTTTCAAAAGGAAACAAAAACAAAAACAAATGGGCTAGCAATTAAGCAAAATGTATCTTTCACCCTGCACACATCATTAAATGGGTCTGTTATATGAATGAAAGAAGAAATATTTCTGGTTAATCCAAACAAAATGTTAGGCAGGCACAGTTCTGTAATTTAAATGTGAGTTTGTCTGCAGTGGACATTGTTGTTGCTTCTCCAGCATTAGTACCATCCGTCCTTTATCTGGTGGATGGAGGCCAGGCAGTCCCCTTTTCTCCCATAGTATGAGGAATTAGTTGGTCCAAATTGTCAATAAAGCTAACATGTATGACTAACTCACATCTATAACTGCATCACTGTTGCGGTTTTGATAAAGAGAGCAGAACATAGAGGTGTCTCTGAAATGAGATGATCCATTCACCAGCACATGTGACACATCCTGATGAGGATTCCAGAGCTTTCTGTGAGGGCTTCAAAGGGAAGATACTCCTGCCAACAAAAAGAAGTGTGGTGCCACATTACTCTAATTTGGGGTACAAACCAGTATTCCTTGGGTGTCCAGCTTTTGCAGATTTAAACTTGGTGAGCATTTAATTTTAAGTACAATAACTATAGTCTTTCTGTAGGCTTTCAAATCACCTGAAAGAGGTTTACCTCACCCTTAAGATCAAATACCTGAAGGGAGGTACTGCCAGTTGCTTGGCAGTTGTATTCCTTTTGAATTCAGTTGACTTTTGTCGACTGCTTGTTATATGGCAGGCATTCTAGCTGTAAGGGTGACAAGAATAAGGCAGACTCCTTCTGGAATTAAATTCTTATGAGGAAGATGTCTGTGAATGAATATGTACTCAAGCAATTAATTGGTCACTTTTATTTTAAAGTTGTGTAGAAAAGTACCCAGTATTAGGAATATGTGTAAGGGAGATCCTAATGGAATTTTGGTCTTCAAAGAAAGTTTTCTGTGATGAAGGGATGCCTTTGCTCAGGTTGTTTTGGCTTCTTACAGCATGACAGCTGAGTGTCAAGAACCCAAACCGCAAGAGATCAAGGCTGAAGTGAATGGCATTTGTGATCTAGCCTTGAAAGTCACATTACCTCACTTCTGCCACAGTCTTGGATAAGACAATCACAAGGGTCTGATAGTTATCAAAGAAAGGGTGACATAGGCACTACAACTTGATGGAAGGTATATGAAGATCACATTTTAGGAAAAACAAGTAGGATGAGTGCTATTGTTGCAGCCATATTTGGAAAATGCTGTCAGCCGCAAGCAAAAAAGAGTAAATCAGTACAAATTTCTGTTTGGGTCATTTCTCTTTTTGAACCCTCTGGGTAGTTGACATGATCTCTAGGTTCACAAGTGGACTCTAATCGGCAGAGCATGTAGTGAAATTCTATCTCCCTTGTCATGGTCATTGCTTTAGGAGTTTCACAGGAGTTCTTTCCAGTCTGAGTGAAGGCCATGGTGGTTATTCAGAGTTTGGGAGAGGAAGCACCATCTTTTCTTCTGGATGGTGTGGTGTCTTGATATGAGGTCTAGGACTGCTACAAATACTTTGTTTTTGAGAGGAAAGACTGTCTCAGGACCAAGATGGTATATCAGGGTGGGCAGAGCTCAGTGAATGACAGAGATATAGATTGGAGTCCTTATCAAACCATATCAGAAACTTTAACATCCTCTAGACTGCATGAGCCAGTGCATTACCTTTTAAGTGAGTTTTTGTTGGATCCTCCATTACATGAGAAGAAATCATCCGAAGTGATCCCATGACCCAATAACACCAAGGCCAAGGACTCTTAATGGTCTTCAGTCTACTATCCCCTACCCTTCCCTTCCCTGCCTCCAACATTCATAGGAGACTTCTTTTCTAAAGCTGTTTCTAAATTTTAGTTTGATATATAAAGAGGATTAAGGGTAAGGGTAAGTCTCCATACTTTCCTATTTTAGCTTCAGAAAGCCTTCAAATACTTGGATGCACCAAAGTTTATTTTAAGTCTTTACTTTGAAATGGTTATAGACTTATCAGAAGTTGCAAAAGTAGACATAGAATACCTTGAACCCATCATCCAACTTCCTGTAGTGAATGGTATCTTATATAACTGTAGTACAATATCAAAAAAAGAAAATCGACATAATTTAAGAGGATAGTAAGCATTGTTTAATTAGCCCTTGATTTTATTATCTGTAAAGTGATAATAAAGTGTCATCTGAAAAGTAAAAAGAATAGTTTCTTTTCAAGTTGAAACAAGGAAATGAATACAAACAGTGATGCCTAATACTTAATACCTGGAATTATTATCAAGAACATTTATATATACACTAATGTATATGAATATACATGTATATACATATATATGTATATAGTATGTGTGTATATATATATGTATCTATGTGAATTCACACATGCAGATACAAATATATCCATTTAAAGGGCTCAGTATTATTTAAATATTTAAACAAATACATCGTTAATAGTTGAAGCTTTGTTACATTTTGCTAAGCACATCTATAACTTGTGGTTATGTCCTTGGGGGTAGTACAATTTGTGATTATGTTTTTCTTTTGAAAAATACTTGATCCATTTTTTGTGAAAATTGTGGGAGAGGACTATATCAGAGTAACCCTCTTAATATATTGCATTCAAAAATCAAATCTCTAGCAATCAGCCAGTGCATTACTCAAATATTGGTCATGATGACTATACCCTCATAGGTCAATCTGTGAATACCTTCTAGATTACAGTAACTGAAGTTCTTCATTGAGTCATTTTTTTGGAGAGACTCTCAACTGACTAAAGGAGTTCTCATTTTAAAAATTTTATGTGCCTCTAGTGCAGTGCTTTCCAAAGAGCGGTCAGTGGAACACCCACACTGATATCATGTGGTGAATTTTCAAGGACCTAATTTAGATCTCCTAAATGACTTCTGAGGGGAGGAGTAAAAAATCTTTTTTGATGCACATCAGATCCCCATGGGCATAAAAGTTGAAGAATGTAGCCCAGGTACCATATATCTGCTTTCCTCAAAATATAAGGATAGAGGTTTTTTGTTTTTGTTTTTGTTTTTAAAGATTTTATTTATTTGACAGAGAGAGAGAGAGATCACACGTAGGCAGAGTGGCAGGCAGAGAGAGAGTGGGGAAGCAGGCTCCCTGCTGAACAGAGAGCCCCATGCGGGCCTTGATCCCAGGACCCTGAGACCATGACCTGAGCTGAAGACAGAGGCTTAACCCACTGAGCCACCAAAGTGCCCTAAGGATAGAGTTCTAAAGTAATTCAATAATGAATGATGCTAAAAGTACTAACAGCAAGAAAAAGCAAAGAGGCAAAAGAGGTGGTTTATGATAAAATTGGAAATGTATAGGAAGATAAAAGATATAAAAATAATGATTCAGTGGCACCTGGGTGGCTCAGTGGATTAAGCCTCTGCCTTCAGCTCAGGTCATGATCTCAGGGTCCTGGGATCGAGCCCCGCATCGGGCTCTCTGCTCATCGGTGAGCCTGCTTCCTCCTCTCTCTGCCTGCCTCTCTGCCTACTTGTGATCTCTCTCTCTCTCTGTTAAATAGATAAAATCTTTAAAAAAAATAATGATTCAAAGAAGCATCTCAAGATAAAATCATCTTAAAATGAGTTCACCCAGATGTACTACTTTTTCTAAGAATTAACTTTAAAAAATTAAAATTTTTAAATTCACACACAGTAAAATTGACTATTTTTGGCATACAGTACTATACACTTTAACACATGAATGAATTTGATCAGGATAAGAACAATTTTAGCCCCCTAAAAAATCCTTCTTGGTTTCCCTTTGTACAAAGTTATACTCTTCCCTCCTTTTCCTTAGCCCAATCCTTAGCAAATACTGATCTGTTTTCTGTCACTATAGTTTTGTCTCTTAAAGAATGTCATACAAATAGAATCATACACTATGTAAACTTGAGACTGACGTCTTTGATTACTCACAATGCCATTGAGATTTATCCAAGTTGTTTGATGTATGAATAGTTCATTACTTTTTATTATTGAGTAGTACTGCATTCTATGACTATAAACACAGAGTGTTTTTCATTTATCTATTGAAGAACATTTGGATCATTTCCAGTTTGGGGTGATTACCAATTGAACTGCTGTAAATATTCATGTACAGATTATTTTGTGAACATATGTTTTTATTTCTCTAGGTGTAAATTCTCAGGAATGTGGTTGTTTGGTCATAGGAGGATATAATGAGTACAGGTAACTTTGTTAGAAACTATCAAGCTATTTTTCAGAGTGGCTTTACCATTCTGCATTCTTACCAACAATATACAAGAATTACAGATGTTCTGTGTCTTTGTTAGCACTTGGTATTGTCAGTATTGTTTATTTTAGCGATTCTAATAGATATATGATGATATCTTCTAGTGGTTTAAATTTACCTTTCCCTAATGGCTAATCAGTATTGTTGAATATCTTTTGGTGTGCTTACTAGCTGTCTGTATATCCTCTTTAGTGAATGTCCACTCACATTTTGGACTATTTTTATTTTTTGTAAGATTTATGTATTTATTTGAGAGAGAGAGAGAGAATTAGAAAAGGGCAGAATGTCTAAGCAGACTCCCACGGAGATGGAACCCTGTATGGGCTGAATTTCGTGACCCATGAGATCAGAACCTGATCCAAAACTGAGAGCTGATGCTTAACTTACTGAACCACCCTAGTGCCCCTCTTTTGACTTTATAAATTGGATTGTTTGTTTTCTTACTGGTGAGTTTAGAGGGTTCCTTACATATTCTAAGTACAAATCCTTGTCAGATATGTGATTTGTAGATAACTTCTGCTGGTCTATAGGTTATGTTTTTATTCTCTTAACAGTGTCTTTCACAGAAGGAATTTTTGTATTTTTTTACTATTTATTTCTTTATTTATTTTTGAGAGAGAGAGAGAGAGATAATCTTAAGCAGGCTCAAAGCATTGTGCCAAGCCCAGTGCGGGGCTTGATCTCATGACACTGAGATCCTGACCCGAGCCAAAATCAAGAGTCAGGCACTTGACTGACTGAGCCACCCAGGTGTCCCCAAAATTTTCAATTTTGATGAATTCTGGTTTGCAATTTCTTTTGTAGGGATCATGCTTTTTATATAACATCTAAGAACTCTTTGCCTAATTGAAATAATGAAGATTTTCTTCTATTTTTTTTAAAGTTTTGTACTTTTACATTTATGTACAGATCTGTGATTAATTTTGAATCAAATTTTGTAAGAGGTTTTATATATATATATATATATATATATATATATATATAGTTTTATTTTGTTTTTTGGAGTATTTTTTGTATGTCCTACTTGCTTTGTCCTAACCATTTGTGGAAAATACTATATTTTTACCTATTTAATTATCTTTGTACTTTTGTAAAAACTATCTGGCTCAAGGGAATGATAAAGCAAGCCATAGTCTGGAATAAAATGTTTGCAAAAGACGTATATGATAAAGGACTGTTGCGAAAATATACAAAGAACTCTTAAAACTAGCAGTTAAACAGTGAATAATCCAATTTGAAAAAAATGGTTAAAAGACTTGAACAGACACTGAAGATATATAGATGGCAAACAAGCATATGAAAAGATGTTTAACACCATATGTCAATTCACAACAATGTGATGCCAGTACACACCAAAATCCAAAGCACTGTAAACAACCTTGGTACGGATGTTGAGCAACAAGAACTATCATTTGTGGCTGGTGAGAACGCAAAACGATACAGACACTTTGGAAGACAGTTTGGCAGTTTTTTACAAAACCAAACATATTCTTACCATACAATCTAACAGCTGCGTTCTTTGGTATTTACCTAAGTGCACTGAAAACTTATGTCCCTGTAAATACATGTATACAGATCTTCTATATTTTTATTTTTTTAAAAGATTTTATTTATATATTTGAGAGAGAGGAAGAGAGCACAAGTATGTGGGGGGCAGAGGTAGATGGAGAAACAGATTCCCTGCTGATCAGGAAGCCCTACATGGGGCTGGATCCTAGGACCCCGGGATCATGACCTGAGCCGAAGGCAGATAGATGCTTAACTGACTGAGCCACCCAGGTGCCCCTATACAGATATTTATAGCAGCTTTATTTATAATTGCTGAAACATGGAAACAACCTGGATGTCCTTCAGTAGGTGAGTGGATACATAAACTATTACACATCTGAAAAACTGAAAATTACTCAGTGCTAATGAGAAATGAGCTATCAAGACATGAAAATATATGGACGAACTTTAAATAAGTATTACTAAATGAAAGTAACCAATCTGAAAAGGGTATGCACTGTACGAATTCAATATATGTTATTCTTCAAAAAAAGCAAAACTGTAGAGACAATAAAACTATCAGTGGAGGAAAGGATGAATGGGTAGAACACAGAAGATTTTTTGAAAAAAAAAAAAAAAAGATCATCAATTGGCCATATATGTGGAGGTCTATTTCTAAACTCCATTCTCTTTCATTGATCTGTATGTATATTTACCTGTCTACCAACATCTCACTATAATTTTATAATTGGCCTAAAAATTGTGATTCTCCCATTTGTTATTCCTTTTGAAAATGGCTTTGCTTGTTGATGTGAATTTTGGAATCTAGTCTATATCTACAAAAAAAAAAAAAAAAGTCCTGCTGGGGATTTGACTGTGACTGTGTTTTATCTGTAGATTCTTTGGAGCAGAGTTGACATCTTTCCTATGTTGGGTCTTGCAGTCCATGAACATAGATTTTAATTATTTTTCAGTTATTATAAATGTATATGTTTATTTTTATAAACATATAATATATTTTTATCCCCAGGAATACAGGTCTGTGAATCGCCAGGTTTACACACTTCACAGCACTCACCATAGCACATACCCTCCCCATTGTCCATAACCCCACTCCCCTATGTTTAAAATTGTTTTTTATTGCTTATCATTTACTGTTAGTAAATGGGAATATATGATTGAGTTTTATATGTTAACTTTTTTTGTAGATTCCTTGAGATTGTCTGCACAGAAAATCACATTGCCTGTAAGTAGAGATAGTTTTACTTTTTCCTTATAATCTATTTGACCACCCCCCCCCACATTCCTTATTGCTCTGATGAGGACTTCTTGAGGTTTTTAATCATGAATTAATATTGAATTTTGTCAAAAATTTTCTTTGCATCAGTTGATATGATCATGTGCTTTTACACTTTAGGCTGTTAATAATAGACTGCACTGATTGATTTTTGAATATTGAACCAACCTTGCTTTCCTGGGATAAACTCCATTTGTTTGTTTTACATATTACTTGATTCCATTTGTTAATATTTTGGGGAGGATTTTTTTTTTTTTTTGTTACTTCATGAGGGATATTGGTCTGTAGTTTTCTTTTCCTACTGTCTTTGGTTTTCATATCAGGGTAATATTGGCTTCACAAAATGAGTCAGGAATTGTCCCCTCATCTCCTTTTTTTCTGGAGGAGATTGTATTAAATCGGTGTTATTTCTTCTTGAAATGTTTGATAGAAGTAAGTAGTGAAGTTATTTATGCTTGTATATTACATTTTCAAAAGGTTTTATCTAGAAATTAAATTTAACAGGCCCCAGGGTGGCTCAGTCAGTTAAGTGTCTAACTCTTGATTTTGGATTAAGTCATGATCTTAGGGTCCTAGGATCAAGACTTACACAGGGCTCTGCACTTAGTGGTGAGACTGATTGAGACTCTCTTCCTCTCTCTGCCCCTCCCTCTGTATCTATGTATTTATCTATCTATCATCTATATATATCATCTCTAAAACAAATTAAAAAAAAGAGAAATTTAAGGTGTAGGATTATTCAGGTGTCTTTCATCTTGCATAAATTTTTGAGGAATTGATTTCTTTTTTAAAAGATTTTATTTATTTATTTGATAGAGAGAAAAAGAGAGAGAGAGAGAGAGAGCAAGCAGAGTGAGTGGCAGAGGAAGAGGGAGAATTAGGCTTCCCACTGAGCAGAGAGCCTGATGTGGGCCTCAATCCCAGGACTTTGGGATCATGACCTGAGCTGAAGGCAGTCGCTTAACTGACTGAGCCACCCAGGGACCCTAGGAATTGCTATATTTTATTTAAGTTGTCTTAAATTTATGTGCACAGAGTTCTTTTCAGTGTAATCTTAGGATTCTTTTAATGTCTTCGGTGTCTATAGTGGTATATTCTCCTTCATTCCTTATATTCGCAATTTTTATCTCCTTTCTTTTTCACTTTTTCAGATTGAATAGAGGTTATCAATTTTACTGAGTTTTAAAAAAGAAATCAGCTTTGTCTTCATTTTTTTCTATTTCTTTTTTTTTTGTTTCATTTATTTCTGCCCTCATTTTTATTATTTATTTCCCATGTTTACTTTCGTTTTGTTTTGTTTTGCTTTTTTTCTAAATTAAGGTAAGAGCTTGTATTATTGAATTATGACTTTCCTTTTTTCCTTTCTTTGCCTGGTTATTCTGTACTATAAAAATTGGCCATATAAGGCCAAACTATGCAAAGTAATTTTAATAATCAGTGGGCTTTACATTTTTTATGAATGACTTTATATTTTTTATAAATACATCAAACCCTTTCTTACTGTGGATTATAAGTGGTTGACAAATGAAAAAAAGGTGAAATTAATACTTATTTAGTAAATTGTAACTTAAAACATTAAGAATTTTGAGAACTGAAGTGTTTTGTTTATAAAAATGCAAAAAAAAAGTACTTTGAACTTCTCATTATATAAATTACAGTGAGAGCAAGCATCTTGTCCATGCCTTGGCAGTTTGTCTTACTGCTTTCTAAGTTTGAATTAGCTTCCAACAATTTACCCTTTGTACCTCAACCATTGTGAAATATTTCCAAATGTTCCTTTCATGTGAAATTTTGTCATTGTCACTTTTGGAATATCTACAGTCCTTTTCACTACCACTTTCCTCATTCTGTTAATATGTTCACCTTTACTGAGTTCCTCTGGCTGCATATTTAGGACCTTTTGAATGGCAGCACTGTCAACCTTTCCTTGTTCAGCTATTTTTTCTAATACTCCATTTATGTTGGATTCAAATTTTACTTTGGTTTTTTGTGGCACATTCATTTTTGTTGGCCAGTTTTCTCTTTTGATTGTACATTTTTTAAAATGTCAAATGGGTTTATCATTGGAACACAAAGAGACAACAATACTCTCTGCTATATCTGCATGAACTGAATAACAGATGTACAGTGACCAATCACTGACAGCTTTGAAAGAAGTAGGTGATTGGTCACTGATCATGATGCACATCTGTTATTTATGTACTGATTTGTGAACTGAAGAACTAGAAGTGAAGTTTTTACTTCACGCAGTTACTTATAGTAAATATATTGCAGTAATTAAAAATTGAACCATATTAGTGGGGACTGATTATTTAATTAAGCTATGATAATTGAAATTCATGTATATTGGGACTGTTTAAAGCTAAGGCTATCTGCATAAGCATTTATTTCTATAAATTTCCTTCTGAGCACAGCTTTAGATGCACTCCACAAATGCTGATATATGAGCTTTCATTTTTGTTCACCTTAAATTAATTTATAATTTTCCTTTAGATTTCTTCTTTGACCAATGGTTTATTTGGAGGCTTGTTGTTTACTTTATAAATATGTGGAGTTTCTCCTGTTGTATTTCTGCTATTTATTTATTTCTAGTTTAATTCCATTACTTTCAGAGAACATACCTTGGGTGATGTAAATTCTTTAAATTCATTAAGGTTTATTTGATAAACCAGAATATAATCTATTTTTATCTGTTCAAATTGCACGTGAAAGACTCTATTCTGCTGTTGTTCAGGGGAATGTTTTATAAATATCACTTAATTATAGTTGTTTGATGTCATCAGGCAATTCTTTTATGACCTTGCTAACTTTCTGTCAACTATTTCTTTTGCTTACTAAGAAGAGAGTTTTTTCCCCCCAGCTTTATTAAGATATAATTTTTATATATATGATATAATTGATATATAATTTTTTGTGAAATTAAAGTGTACAATGTGATGATTTGACACACTTATATTTTGGGAAATGATTGCCACAAACAGAGTTAGTTAATACCATCATCACTTACCTAATTAACGTTTTTTTTGTGTGTGAGAACATTTAAGATTTACTGTTTTAGCAACCTTCAAGTATGTAATACAGTGTTGTTAATTATAGCTAGTATGCTATCTATTAAATCCCTAGAACTCAGAGCTATTCCTCTTAACATTGTAAGTTTTTATCTTTTGACCAACACCTCCCCAATCTCTCCTACACCCCATTACCAGCCCCTGGTAACCAACATTCTACTTAAGAGGGAAGTTTTTAAAGTCTCCATTATAGCTGTGGATTTGTCTTTTTTTTTTTTTCTTTCAGTTCTGTCATTTTTGCTTTATGTATTTAGAAGCTCTGTACTTAGGTGCATACACATTTGTAATTGTTTCATCTTCTTGGTAAATTAGCCCTTTTATCATTATGCAATCTGCTTCTTTATCTCTGATTATTGTTATTTTGCTCTATTGTCTACTTTGTCTGGTATGAAGTTCACCATTCCAGGTTCATTTTGATTAGTGTTTACTTGTTATAGCTTTACCCTTTCTACTTTTAAACTGCATAGTTTATTTCATATGGACCAGTTTCCTGTAGATAGAATATAGTTGAGTCATTAAAAAAGCCATTCTGATAATATCTGACTTTTAATTAGTGCATTCAGACCATTTATATCAAATGCAAGTACTGATATATTTGGGGTTAGCTCTCCTATTTATTATTTTTTAAAAAAATTTGTTCTCTTTTTTATTCCTTTGTTTCCCTTTCTTGCCTTCTTTTTATTTGAATATTTTTAATACTTCATTTTAGTTTGTTTTATTTTTTACTATATTTATTTTTAAATTGAGACATATTTTATATATAATTGTGTGAGCTGAAGTTGTACAATGTGTTGATTTGATCCATTTATATATTGCAATGTGATTACTATCACAGTTTTAACTAACTCTCTAGTACACTAGATATTTATGATTTCTTTTTTGTGGTAAGAATATTTAAGATCTAGTCTTTTAATAGTTTTAAAGCATATAATACAGTGTTGTTGACTATAAAAATCATGCTGTACATTAGATCTCCCAAGCTTATTTATCCTCTACTTTCAAATTTGCACAATATCACCCCAATTCCCCCATCCACCTGCCCCTGATAACCACCATTCTACTCTGTTTCTGTGAGTGTGGCTTTTTTAGATTCTACAAATAAGTGATATCATATAATATTTTACTTTGTCTGGCTTAGCTCAGTGAACATATTGCCTCAGATTCCATCTATGTTGTCACAAATGACAGGATTTCCTTCTTCCTCATGGGTGAATAGTATTCACTATACACACACCACTTCTCCATTATTGTTGACAGGCACTTAGGTTTTTCCATATTTTAGCTACTGTGAATGATGCTGCAGTGAACCATGGGAATGCAGATTTTTTTGATATCCTGTTTTCATTTCCTTTGGTTATATACACAGATGTGGGGTTGCTGAATCATGTGGTAGTTGTATTTTAAATTTTTGAGGAACTTCCATATTGTTTTCCATAGTGGTTATACCAATTTACATTTCTACTGACAGTGCACAAGTGTTCTCTTTTCTCTGTATCTTCATTAACACTTGTTATCTCTTGCCTTCTTGATGATAGACATTCTAATAGATGTGAGATGATGTCTTGCTGTGGTATTGATTTGTAGTTCCCTAATCATTCGTGATGTTGAACATTTTTTCATGTGCTTATTGGCCATTTGGTTGTCTTCCTTGGGAAAAATGTCTATTCAGTTTCTCTGCCCATTTATAAATCAGCTTTTTTTTTTTTGGTTATTATGTTGTACCTGTTTTTAATATATTTTAATATTAAACTCTTATTCAGTATATGTTTTGCAAATATTTTCTCCCATTCCACAGGTTGCCTTTTTATTTTGTCAATTGTTTCTTTTGCTGTGCAGAAACTTTTTTTTTTTTTTTTGAAGATTTTATTTATTTATTTGACA